AGCTTATAGCAGCGACAGTCGAAGAAGTAGGTGGTCTAGTGGAATCCACGTTTGTTCTTTGATCAAAAATAGATAAATCATTCCAGAAAGTCGCATCCAGTGGAGGTAATGTCACGAGAGGCGAAATGAAGTCGTTTTAAGCACTCTTTCTACCAATGGTGATCGGTTAGTAATTTTTAAGACGAAGACCACCAGTGGTACAAGCGCTCATTCCAGCGCCTTTGGAACCACCCCGACTGACTGTCAGTATCTCAACCGTACGCTCATGTGACACGTATAGCTACAGCATAAATTGTCCTACTGATGATTACAGGAAGGCAGCCTTCCTTTCGAATTACTTTATGAATGTCAAACTCAAGAAGATGTATGACTTTCTACTCAGCTATGTATTAGGATACCTCATTAATATCATGGGTCCTTTGCAAACGTGTGGGTGTGTGTCGTGGATGTCCTTTGACCACAGCAGGATGGGCCAGTTTTCGGCGAGAGCATCGAACTCCAGTCCGATGTCTTAGTAGAACTTTAAAGTTTTTGCTGTGCAAAAACAAGTGAAGGTGGGACTGAGTGAGATCCAGCGGTAACATGAGATGGGAGTGAGCTGGTGATCTCAAGATCAAAACGATTTTAGCTTGGTGGGCTTGCCTTCAGTTCTCCTTCAAGATTGTGACCTCTTTCTCTGCTAAAGTTGAGCCTGACCTGGAAAGCCGCTTCTTTTCCCAAGCTCAACCTTAGCAGAGTGCGAAAGAGGGCCAACGCCAAAAGCGAAGGTATAATACCTATACACGTTTCCATTTCGTGGAATTTTCGTGGAAAAGGTGGCAGCGCCAAATTGGGGCCTGCGCCAGAAAGCAATGTCATCGGAGCTCTGAATCACCGCTACAAACAAAGTTTCAGCAAAAAACATTTTTTTTAATTTTTCGGAGTAGAGACACTTCAATACTGCCAATATTTCCATTTTGACATAACTTCTGGTCGTGTCTCTTAGTCGTGAACAAGATGGAAGTTGTCTCAAACTTAAAATATTCCACGAATAACCCATTTTATGCCATGTTGAGTGCCACGCCTACTCCGTCTCAGGGATGAGGAGTATATCATATCATTCGCATCAGTCGTTTTCCGCCAACAGTTGTCGCTTACCTGCTTCAACAGCTGGTGGAGAAAGGGTTTGGAGCCGCACCAAACCCACCGCAACTGACACGCCCCTTCACCCACGGTGAACAAAACTGTATGTGACTACATTCTCTCTTATTCGATTCCAGTACTTGATTGCAAAGGACCAAACCGCTGAAGGTCAATATTTCGGGGAAAAGTGATAACTTCTGAAAACTGATAGAGGAGAGGGTATTTGGGATGATTTCAGGTGGGATGAGCACAGGGGCTGGTATAAGAGCATGAAGTGAGGGCGGTACCACTGCCATTTCACACATCACAATGATGATATCTCGATTTTCTGTCGTCAACCATTGCGCAGATAGCGCGCTCTACGTGCGGAAAGAACTACTCGCGGTATCTAACAATGAAAAAGTCACAGGTGGAGCGAACTGAAGGGGATGGGTGGGATCATGGCAGGTTGCAACATTTCAATCAGTTGGAGGCCGTGTGACAAGGGTGGAATGGCCCGCCCCGGCTGCCTTCCTCTACCAGTGGTGATCGGCTAGTGATCGACTTAGGAAGAAATCAACCAGTGGCGGTAAGGCCGCAGGTGGGGCCAGTCCATCCCATTGGAAACCGAACGGACTGATTGCGATGGTACCGATTGTAGACACTGACGACTTCTACTGTCATGGTCATCTCCGCGACGTCATTTTAGACTGTGCACGAAAGTGCACGCAATGGTGCTGGAGACCTATGCGTTTGCTGCACCCACCCATTCACGAAATCTCCTCCTTCAAACGGACGTGATAGTGTATGGTGTCTCTCGTTTTCTTCGAGCCTCTCTTATTCGTTGCACGGCCTCAGCACATGCCAACGTTCGCCATTATCTTACGCAACACTTCAGGTCTTAGTGCTTTTAGGATCTTTACCGGGGGTTTTTCACAAATGTCCATGCACCCGAGTGCTATCCCATCCGTTTCGTTTACAGGTATTGGCATACAGCCGCTTTCAAGTTGGTTATAAGCTACTACACAGAACTAAACCCACTTCCTATTTTTTTTTGTTTTTTGCCACACTTCATTTAATTTTTAGTGCCTTTTTTCTTAACTTCTTCTTACTGCATGTTTTTGCGGAGTGTCTCGCGTCAATTTCTTACAATTTTTTGTCAACTCCTTCCCCATTGTTTTCCTGATTCCGTCCACCCTGCCTCACTGACGAATCCTACTTGCGGAATTTCAACGGGTTATATGAGGTAGGGGACAAAACAAACTAATGTGATGGCACATCATTACATGGAGGACCATTTTGCGGGTTTTGTGGTATTTTTTTATAACTACAGGAGCAGCCCCTACCGAGAGATCTCAAAAAAACAGCTCTCACTGAAAGCCCGAAATGAGCGTTTCTGAAAAAATACCAGCAGTAAGGAGGCGGCGTAGTGACGTAATGTGACGAAATAGGGGGGGGGGGGTGAGTCATCCCCGTACTATTCGTCGCCCTTGATGCTAATTTCGGAGACACTTCCTGTTAAGGACGTCTTTAGTGAGGCGAACCACTACCGTGCAATAATCCTCGTAATAATAATAATCCATAATAATAATTATCATTGAGACGGAGTAGGCATGGCATTCGAAAATGGCATGGAATGGGTGGGTCGGGAGATATTTCATTCTTAGACAACTGTCATCTTGTTCAGTGTTGGACAGAGACATGACCACAATTGTGTCAAAATGAAAATATCTCACCAAAAGCACAGCCACCACCACGTTTAGTTGAAGTACGCAGCCACGCCTACCACATTTCAGGGACTTCGACTCTGTAGGGGGGGGAAAAAAAGTCACTTCGACCGAGTCACATATCAGCAAAGTTTTCGCAGCCCAGACAGAAGACGTGGATACGAGTACCAGGGGAAGATACCCAAGATGTTCCTCGATAAGCAGAAGCAGGCTCTCGTCGATCTGGAGGAGGCCTATGGAATTTACGTCACCTCCAAACAGCTGCGAAACTTCTTGTATGGAGCCCATGGACAGCTACCTGGAGACCAGCACTCTTGATCTGGAAGACCTCCAACATCGAGCAGCTCCAACGTCGCTACGGTCCAGGAAATCATCTTCATCGCAGTCGCCAAGGTTAATGGTATGACCAGACGTTTCTGGAATGGGAAGACCGATATTTTCTTCGTGGACCCCGGACTGAAAGTGAACGCTGACGGTTACATCGACAACTCGAGGAGAATATCCTGCCTTCATGTCGTCGCCTGTACCATCTTGGAAACTTCGTACTGCTACAGGGGTGCCAGCACATGAAATCGAAGGGAGTTGCAAACTCTAGCCTTCTTGGAATCGAAGGAGTTGAGAACCTGAGGAAGGCGGAATATACCAAATGTGCCATCTGACCTAAACCCCTCGATTACCGGGTTCGGGAGGAGCTCAACAGGGTGGTCTACAGTGGCGGAGAAATCAACGACCTCGCTGAACTCAGGCACCGAATCACGGTCGCGTGGCAGAATCTCTCGTTGTCCAGAAGGCTGTGGCGGAGTTTCATGATAGTGTACAATGTGTTGTTGAATATGATGCTGAAAATGACCAATCAAAATTTAATAATATACAACTTCTGTCGCCATGAAGTCAAGGAACAAGAACGTCTTTTTTTGGTCTCACTGTATGTCTGTAGAACTTTAGCGGATCAGAACTTATCTTTTCAACCTTCCCCCCGACAGCAGTACCTCTTCATTGTAAACACAAGCTTCCAACTACTTGTCTTATACTTGACCGGTGGGCACAAATTGAGGGGGTGGGAATACACGGCAAACTGCTCTTCTGCTCCCTCCTCGCCGAGGAAACCTAGTGTTTGGTCGGTTTCAGTAAGGGTTTTTAACTTCTTGATTTCAGTTGTGCTCTAGTCGCTGCGGATGAGGGGGTGTATCGGGCAGTGTGAGTGTGCCACAGCTCCAAACCCATTCTCTTCCAGTTGTTAAAGCGGCTTCAACAGCTGTGGAGAACAGGCACCTTTTCAAAGTCATCCCACCCGACACGCCCCTTCAGCCGAAGCGAATTCATCTGCAGGAAGTTTAACGCTGTTATAGGGTGCTAGTCCAATAAGATTAGGCATTGAACCCCGAAAAAAAATTAAAGAAGCAATAGCAAACCAATGGATGGATATTTTGCCAACGCCAGGATGCAAGAAACGGGTGTTAGGGTGGGTGAATCCATTCCGTTGCGTAATGATATCTTCTTCCATTACTCTAAAAGCACCCTACCAGGATAGACAGGAAAATGATGTTTTTCGACAAACTCTCCTGTAGGGATATGCGTTCCATCTTTCTATTCAAAATTAATCAATTTCTCATTTGAAACATGCTAGAAATCCGTCACTATTACAAACAAAACCTCGGCGAGCAGGTTGCAGAAAAGCAACGTGCCTCGTGGTTCTTCCCAAATACGTTAGCGCCCACAATCTTTCTAACCGTTTATTCAAAGCCTTGAACAATACTTTTTCATCTTAAAGCTGAAAGCAATCCGTAAATGGTAGAGAATTATGCGACAAGACCAATCCACCCCGGAGGCACGGCGGGAGCCCCGCCAGGCGCACGCGTCGCGACCGCACGCTTGTAGGGCGGGACGGCTCGCCGCACTTGGCGCTCGATAGATTTCCCAACTCAGTGGGGAGTTATTGATCCGCCTTACTGACTCATATCATATCAGTTCGATGGTTTTTCGTTTCTCCTTTTCGAATAGCCTGCCCACTACTATATAAAAGTAGATCGTATCGTCTTGATCCAAGTTGAAATCCGCCCACTGTTCGTGTGAACGATGATCCGCCTTCTATGAATGACTTCTTTTATCCCAAGCTCGTTTTGTTAGTATTCTTTCCATTCTTCACTCCTATTCCTACTCAGTTTTGTAGCGATGGCGTCTGGGGTACAGTCAACGCCGTCCGCAGATGTTCTGGACCGGAAAATGATCAATGAAGTGGACCAGTGGATCGAACAGCTTTACGAATGCAAACAATTAACTGAAAATCAAGTCAAAACCTTATGCGAGAAGGTAGTCTTTACACTTTGTCCTTCTCAGTTGCAATTACTGTCATAATGATCAATATTTAGGCGAAAGAGATTCTTGAAAAAGAATCCAACGTGCAAGAGGTGCGGTGCCCGGTGACCGTTTGCGGAGATGTTCACGGGCAATTCCATGATCTCATGGAATTGTTCAAGATGGGCGGTAAAAGCCCTGACACGAACTATCTTTTCATGGGTGACTATGTTGATCGTGGTTACTATTCTGTAGAAACTGTTAGTCTACTGGTTTGCTTAAAGGTAGGTCATAAAGTACGTTATTCTCTTTACTGTTCTTGATATTACCACACTTCAGATCAGGTATAAGGAGAGGGTCACTATTCTTCGTGGAAATCACGAATCTCGGCAAATTACTCAGGTAAGAAAAAGCTTATTTTGTAGTGGTCTCACTAAGAATGTTCATGAACAGGCCAATTTCCTCAATACAGGATATAAAATATAGAAAATTTGATTATATATTGCAATTTTGATTACACATATATAGCAGTGATCAAATGTGAATATTTATCGAATAACTTTTCTTGTGGAGGTCTTCTTTGAAGGAGTAGTTCAGTTTCCGTTTCGCACGCAAGTTTAGGCGGAAACTGAACAAGAGTCGTAGTTTAATTCGGAGTAATGTGAACGAACTCTGGCTTCTTCACTATCAGCAAGAAATATCTGACTTTTTCTGATATCTCTCACATTACAATGTGAACGATAGCAAGCGAGTCAAATTGCAGTTGTAGAACCCCAAATTTACAACGAGCAGCATAGTATGCATCGGTTCTAGGTTCAAAAGTTGCAGATTTTCGAAGCATCTGTGGGGAAACAATCGGTGAAGGGGGGGGGGGGGAGGATTGGGGGTTAGTGGGAATTTCCAACTTTATGCTTCTTCCATAGTTCTTTCATAGGCAACTTTGAGCTGGATGTATTGTGAATAGAAAAGTAGTATTACCAGCTTGCTTTCGTTGACGCCACTTTTAGATTTGCCTCAGTCATAATTTGCAGATTGTTCAAACATCTGGAAGCTGGGATTTCTTTTTTGCCATATTTAGAATGTATCATGAGATTTTGTTTATCGCTATCAGTTAAGATAGTTCATTACCTTGTTAACAGATTGGCGACAATATAGGGCACCGATGACGTTTTGCACTACTTTTTGGGTTTTTACCTTAGGTTCTAAGATGTCTTTTTTTTGTTTTCTGATCGTCTGTGGTAGATGAATGTCCAGCAGTAATAAGCAAAAAATAATGTTGTTTTTTTAAGGATATTTTGAACTGGGACTTAACACTTCTCTCAACTAACTTTTACCCTTCCAATAATACCACGCCTTTTTCTCACCTAAAACTTCGCCAATGGGCATTGCACAGGTCCCTTACCGGGAATATGGCTTTGGTTTTTGAAGCTGGCATTAACACTTTTTTGATACAAGTCCTCACACAGGATTATCAGATGCCTTGATTACGAGTATACCGCTCGTTTTAGAGTCGACAGCGTTTAATTTTGCTGGTCCATTCCGAGCAACAAACGAGTTTTTAGCCTGTTAGACCGGACATTTCACCAAATGCGGGCGGGGCTAGCGCAAGCGGGTGGAACTTCCAACGGAGCAGAGCATCTTGGTGTGGTTCAAAAAGGTGAAACTTAAGGAAATGGTAAAAATTCCAAAAGTGCCCTGGAAACTGGTCTAGAAAGGGGGTAGAGCTTGCTGTGTCGGTATATGCATCCGTGTCAAGGAGTGCAGTCGATTTGGGACGAGTGAGGTAAAAACAAGGACGCTAGCGAAAAAAACCCTTTGTCACACGGCGTTTTCTCAAAAGACGCGTATGTCTTCAGTGTGTTAATAAGCTGTTCCCATATGTTTTTTGTACATTTAAACAGCTCTTTTAATACGTAAAAACATGCTGTTTCTCTAACTTTGCTTTCCGTTTCAGGTTTACGGGTTTTATGATGAGTGCCTACGCAAGTACGGTAATTCCAATGTCTGGAAATACTTCACAGATTTGTTCGACTGTTTCCCACTCACAGCCCTAGTTGATGGTCAAATATTCTGCCTACATGGTGGACTCTCTCCGTCCATCGATACGCTTGATCATATCAGAGCCCTGGATCGCATTCAAGAGGTATCCTTTTCGACTAGCTTCATTATCCCAATTCTTAACTCTTGTCGACTTATTTTCGTAGTGTGGGCGGCAAAATTAATCCTTGTTATCCTTGTCTGTTTTCAAATACGCGGCCGCGTTCTTTCGCAGTGTACAGCATGGCTGGGAGAATTCCATCAGCGAAGAGGTTGCAATCTGAAGAGGAGGCGTAGGGTCGTACCTGGTCTCGACAGAATTTTTTTCCGCAACGAAACTTTTCTCATGATTGTTGCTTTTGGCGCTCTTTCCCATTCATATGTTTTGTAGGTCCCACCTCTAGTTGGTGAAGCCATCAAAGTTCTATACTACTACTAGCCTCAATAGTTGCAAGTAGAAGTTCTTTGGTGACGACTCTTTCCTTCCTCTCCCACTCCACCCTCGCTCGACTGCAGTTTTTTTTTTGGAAAATCGAAAAATTCCCTGGAAAAGTGATGGTAAGATTGGAAAGTATAGGAGGTTGTTAGGTAGAATATAGGGTCGTATTGGAGGAAATCTGGGGAGGGTTCGTCTGACACCGCCTTGTCTCCGATCTAGATGTTGCGGTCTGTTTCCACTGTTCGACTGCGTGTGAGTGCATGCAGCCGGGGGCCATCGTAGCACTGCGTTCACTACTGCTCCTTGAAACGGAGATGGTGTAGTGGCGAGGGGCGCACCACGAGCGCGGTCCGAGGTCTGGGATGGCCCCGCCCAGGGCAACCGATCCTTCTACCCCCTCGGGGACGGTAAATTGGTAACATATTCTCGAGGGAGTATAGGCGCTGAACTGGACATCAGGACGCGCAAGTCATAGCATAGCCACATCGCATTAATTAGTCACTGCGATTCTGAGCAGAAGCAGATTGCGTGCCGCATCGAAGAAGATTGATTATTAGCAAGACTTCAATCTTCATCCTTTTATTCTTTCTTGGAGGGCACCCAACGCCTGCTTTCGACGGAGCTGATCTTGACCAGTCGTTACCTCATGTTTCTTTAATAAGTTCATTGCATGTTTTGGATGTGATTCCTTACCGGACCATTGCGTGAACTTTGTGAATGCCTTGGAGGTCGTGTTCCAAAAGAAAGCACAAATGTTTGCTATAGTCCAGATTTACAGGAAGCGTGGCTTGCAGGCACAGATATTTCTCTTTCTGTGGTTATTCCTTTCTTTTGACATTATTTGCATGTTCTACAGTTGGCAAATCACGTTTTAGAACGCCTAAAATCGGGTATCATATTAAATTGGGAATGAAGGAGGCATAGCTGGATGTCGCTGTAAAGTGGTGAAATGACGAGGATATGAGCTTCTGGCTGCTTGTCTTACTACTTTCACAGCACTAAGCCGCATCCTATGAGTTAGTAGTAAACAGATTAAGTAATCTGAAGAAGCCTAGTTCTATCCAAGCCTGCATATTGAAGACACAGATGATTGCAGCACAGGCGGACAGAAATGTGAAACATATGATATAAATATACAGATAAAATGTCATCGTGGTCACGAACGAATTCTACCCAAGTCTGTGTCATATAATTTCTCGTTTATATAATTAGGTGAAATTTAATACTGTTACGTATGGTTATTAGTGTATAACAATTATTTCGGTACTCAAATTCGCTGCTTCATTATGGTCAGTTACAATCGCAGTACAGAGGCGTGCGGGCTTCGCAGTACTTCTCAGTACTCCGGCGCAATCTCGCCTGACTATCGCTTATCTTTGAAACGCGTAGAGTTGTTTTGCACTGCCTCACAAAAGATGGGATCATGTGCTTTGTACGCACCAGAGTAGGGTGGTGGTCCGGATGCGAACTTTTGAAGAAATGGGCTGTTTCTTTGACGTAGAGTTCTTTATATTTTAATCCGCATTTCCTTCAATGTGTTTCTTTTTTGACACCCCCGTTGTCAATTAAAAAAACTAGTGGTAAGGTTACAGCAGCCACACGGACGCAGTCCGGTGACCGGGGGGGGGGGGTGGATCTTGCTTCAGTAGTTCCGGTTTTGAAGTCTCACTCTGGTGAAACCTGTGAACTCTTGCTGAGCTGGAGCAAGCTCGTCGAACCACCATGGTAAAACCAGTTAACTCAAGAAAAGGCTATCTAGATGGAAGGACTTGTTGATGGGAAGCAGCAGAAATGCAAAATGCCCCCGCCTCCCGTCGCCAGACTGCCCCGCCACACGATGCGCAGTAACCTTCAGAAATCCGGATTGAGCGTGCTATTTATTTTTGATTTTTGGTCGACCTGAACATTTGTTGAGGCCTGAAACATCATCATTGAAAGTTTGGAATGCAAAAGCTTCAACTCATGCATCAACGTGGTAACAATAGTTGTTGTGAGAGTGATTGTTTGATTTCCTATCGAAGAGTTTTCGCTCCTTATATTTTTACATTCACGCGTTTGATTCGATAAATGCAGGAATCTCCTCGACCTCTTCCGCCTAGTTAGAAAGGAATGATGGCAGAATATTTTAAAAAAAGAACTACTCTTCTTCTTATTCTTTAGCGTTTGTCCCGCTTGGTGGCAGGGTCCGCTCTTCTGATATGATGACGCCATTTCTCCGATTAAATGCTTGGTCGGGGTGAATTCCAGCTATTTTTCAAGTCTGTATGCAACGTATCGAGCCAGCGCTGTCTGGGACGTCCCTTGGGTCGCTTTCCGGGCACCTCAAGCTGAAGGCCAGTCTTACAGACGGTGTCAGCCTTTGCGCGAAGTACATGGCCGTACCATCGAAGGCGCGTTTCTCGCATTTTGTCAGCTATAGGAGCTATACCGAACGTATTATGTCGTTACAAATGCGGTCCAAACGCGTGACGCCCGCTGTCTAACGCAACATTCTCATCTCCATCACACTGAGACGGGTCTCACAAGGGAGGTCGTTCAGGCCGTGGTGAGCTTTTTCAAAACGGTTTGTTGCATGTTGTAGGGGTCCATGCGAGGACCATAGCGATGGGGTTCATTTTTGCTAAACGGTACTGGGAATGTCAAAAAAGGTCAAAAATAATTCGAAAAGAATGGGCTTTTTAAACCACCTTATTCGCCTCTGTTCTAGCTGTAGCGTTGACAGGGTATAGTATGTAGGGTATCCTTTGAGCAGGCATGAAAAACAGCGCAAAATAAGGTCAAAATCCAAATGGTCTACTTGGCATGTGGTGAGCTGCATTGGAGTTTTCCGGTCATCTGCGCATTTCTCTTCAACAGGTCCTGCATTTCCATGTCGCAGTGGCAGATGGTGTGGTGGATAGCGTGACGGGCTCTCATTCGGTGGGTTTATGGATCGGATCCTGGCGGCAGATTTGCACTTTTCAGATTTCTTGCATCTTTATGCCCCATAATGTGTATCCCGGATATACGCCATTTAAAGACACATTCCATGCGGGAACGGTTCACAAATAGGCCTCACTCAATTATTACGCTCGCGAAATACTATCGAAGAAACTCTCTATGAAACTTGGGTTACGGCGGTTATCCGATGCTCTGATCATGAACATGACACTCATTTTTAAATATGGCGCAATGTGTCGCCAATTTGGTGCAAAGGCTTTCTCGTACTAGCATCATTGTCAGTCTGCGCGGCGGGGCTTATTTAGCGCCATACTGGCCCAGATGGCCTCCGCGCCAAAAATAAGTGTCAGAACCGTGATCAGGACCATCAACTATCCCTACGTATAGAGTTACGCCGGAAAAATTTTTCCGAGTTTTTTGTGTTATGATGCCTGCCATGTCTCCAGCTAGTGGCTATCAGTCCCCCCCCCCTAAAGAGTCGTTATTCAACATCGTTAAGAGGGGCTTTTCATTTGTTAGTATGCAGACGACAGCTACACAAAAAAGTGAGGCACATACACTGCACACCACTAATACCTTTGATATGGGAGAAACAAGATCTTTTTTCCGGGCAGGTGGTAACGAGTTCTTTGTCGAAATTGTCGAAGACGGTAAAAGTGGAGAAAGTTTCAGGATGCTCGTTTAATGACTCCGAAGTCAGCACGGAAGTAGGTGTAGGAGTAGGTGTTCTATGTAAACCTACTGAAGTTGAGGGTGCAAGAAATGAAAAATTTCTGGTGGTTTGTATGCCAGAGAGGATACTCAATGGAGGGTTCGCCTGTCACTGCCATCCAAATGGTCAAGTCCATGACCACCAAAAAACTCGAAAAAAATTTTTTCGCTGAAACCTCTTAAACAGGGGTAATCAATGGCCCTGATCACGATTCTGACAATTATTTATGGCGCCGACGTGATCTGGGGCCAGCGTGGCGCTAAATGGCCACTGCGAGCGCGAAGGGATGCTGCATAAACCCCTAAAGAAACTGCAGTGTACCTCACTGTATGCAAAGTAAAGCACTTCAATTTCGACCTTATTCAATATTGTTTTTCATGTCTAGTTGAGGAACACTTTATAAACTCTATGTATTCTGCTTTACAGCTGAAACAGATGCGAATGAGATGATAAAACGTATTTTAGCGATTTGTTTTTATTCCTTTTTTGACATTCCCAATAGCGTTTAGCAAAAATGAAACCCATCTGTGTGGTCCTTGTATGGACCCCTACAACATGCAACAAATCGTTTTGAAAAAGCTCACCACGGCCTGAACGACCTCCCTTGTCAGTGTGATAGAGATGAAAATTGTCAATGTTAATGTTCAGTATTTATTGAAAAAACTACGATGAAACTTATAAATTTGTGCTGTATCGGAATCTCATAGGTAACTCAATGTTGTAAATAACAGAAGTAGGCTCAAAATGTTCATCTCACAAGAACTCGAAGTCAGAAGCCTCTGATTAGACTTCAAATGATTCGGTGCTTGGCACCTTCTTCAGCGACCTGTAATATGTCTACCAGTGCGGCTTGTTTGAATAGACGTTGAACTCACTAGTTATTGTTACCTGTAAGTTGTCGATAGGTCACTTAGTTCCCTCATCAAGGCACCCGTGAGGGTTCTTACACCACAGTAGGTGGCAGATCTTGATGAGAGGCTGGCAAAACACTCTGATTCTCGTACACAACTTGTCAAGACGACCCTGCACTTTTTCGCGAGTTACGTCATTCCTTTGTTGTTTGGCCCGAAAACAT